AGATGCCCCAATTGCCCTAATGCTCCTGGGCGCCATAATTCTCCTGACCTCCACTCTGTTGCAGTTACCCAATATCCCCGTTGGTAACTGGGCTCAATCACTCAAGCCAGTAAATTAGCCCTTTTGTTTTTTGACTGTTGGTTCAGAGGCATAAGAAGCCCAAAGTGGCCAGGTGGCAGTCTCAGCTTCCAATTCAGTGGGACCATCACTATGACGCCTGCTGGAAGCATTCCCCTCTGGAGACCAAGATCTCCAAACCATCTCGAAGTTGCCAGGACAAGAAGCAGAACTTCTGCAAGTAGGTTACAGAGAGTACTAGTGAGAGGAGCGTTCTGGCTGTGGGGACATAACACCACACTATGGCCCCTGATCCAAAGTGTATTTTGTATCCTGTAACATAGCCCCCACCCTTTCAGGATGTTGCCTCCCATCTGGCACTATAACTGACTCTTCAGGAAGCTATTCCACCTTTCAAGTGAGTCAGCCCTTTCTGAGTTATGGGACGTGTGATAAAACCACTTAATTTCATGGCCATGAGTCCATTGCTCCACTTCCTTTCCCTGAAATGAGCTTCTTGATCACATGCAATGCTGTCCAGAAGGCCATTACACTGGATAAAGCTTTTGTGATGTCACGGGTGTTGGTGCTGGCAGAAGCAGGACAGACAGGGAAGTCAAATCCATACCCAGAACATATGACTATTCCAGTGAGCGCAGATCTCTGCCCTTTCTCTGATGGAAGAGGTCTGATGAAATTAACCTGCCACCAGGCGTCTGGCTGGTCGCCACAGGACTCAGTATTGGTCTTGGCTGCTGGCAGCTCAAGCACGAGCAGCAGCAGTAGCCGGGTTGGCTTTGGTGAGGGCAAGGCCATGACGCTGAGCATGTGCATCCAAGCCTGCCACCGGGTCACTTCACTCTTGGACACATTGAGCAAGCCCTGGAGTGGTGGAGGTCAGAGCTGGCTGAACAGAGTACTTGGACAAGACACATCTAGGGTACTGCCCAGGTTTGACACCCAGAGGGTGCATCACTTTCCACCTGATAATCCAGGGCCTCTTCTGCAGTGTGTGCCTGCTGATGGGCATTCACTGGGAACACGGTGTATTCACCCTGCACTCATTCAGAGATCCATCCACATGCCTCTTCCAGAGCCAAGTTTCCAACCCTGTTCTTTCCAGCTGTGGACCAAATATCAGGAGCCTCTCCTGAATTAATACACATCCATATACTGGCCATTTCTCGCTCCAGGCCCAGGGGACAACCCAATGTGCTGCTCACAGTTCAGCCCAAGAAGACTTCCCTTCACCACTGTCTGCGCCTTCAGTGGGGTCGCAGTACTGCATCTGTCCGTATCAGGGTGGGACCAGCGTACCCTGCAGACCCACCTAAAAGCCAGGCTCACATTTTTTCTTCCACAGTTAATAGCTATAAGAAACAGGCCGGGGGTCCAGGCTGGGACAACTCGGGTCCCAAGGCTCGCAGACCTGTGCTTTGTCCAGGCCACACTTCCAGGTGTTGAACAGACACGAAATTCCTGGTAAAACAGATGACAACAAAAAGTCTACGTCCACAGACATCTTTGGGCCTCAGATCCTTCGGTGGCCACGGTGAACCTGAGTCAGGAGGGCCCCAATTCTGGTTCAGGCATCTTTTGATGACTTCGGAGCCAATGTTTTTTGAACAATTGTCTAAAGGAATGCCTACCTTTTGGGTTTCTGCTTGGAGACATCTCAGGTGAGGTGCCACTGAAGATGGGTAGCAGGGAGGCTGGGCCTGGCTTCCCTGTGGTAGCTGTGGGGCCTCCGCCTCAGTGAGGCGCAGAACCTGCACCTTTGCAGAGAAGGGTACTTGGAGAGGACATGTCTAAGGGCACTGTCCAGGTGTGCGAGCGTTCATCCTGGGGTAGTGCCCGGCATGTGCTCTCAATCATATCGAACAAGGATTTCCCCCTAAATGCATCGAGTTGCTATTTTACCAGACACTTCAGTCCTTGCAGGTGCTGGGCTCAGTGGCTTCTCGAGGCAGCCCTGCTTAGCTCAGGGTACAGATGTCCATGGGCATCCTGCCTGCTGCTGGGGGCCAGACCGGGGGAGTTGGCGACAGGAGAGAGCTCAGAGGCCTCTCCGCTGGAAAACAGCGTGGGCCAGCCTGCACTTGGACGCTTCGCGTTCTTGGCTGAACATTTGCTTTGTTTGAATCAATTAATCCGGCCCTCTACTCTTCCCACCCCCAACTTTGCTTTTAGAAGAACATTAATATTCATGTATAAATTAAAAATAGCACAAAAAGCTGACTCCTCACTTCCTGCCCCACAGGCCGTTTTCTTCCTTGGCCCAAGTGCAGTCCCCGGGTGGCAGCTTGGTCAATGCGGCCCTGTGTGCAGGCCTGGCTGCCCCCGCCACCCCCACCCTGCCCTCGGTCCCCATTGGCTGCCTTGGCCTGCAGTGGGACTGCACAAGGGGCCGACGCCCAGACGAAGGAATAAAAGGCCGCCCCTGCCCACCTCTCCTGCCACTCAGGACGCTGCAGCCAGGAGGTGACCACGAAGAGCGACCAAGATCACAACGTGAGGGGGGAACCTGTTGTTTTGGGGAAGGGGTGGGCACCTGGGAGGGGTGGGGACCTGGGATGTGGGGGTTGGAGAGCTGGGTGGTAGTTAAAAAAGCCCCTTCAGGATAATTGCATTTCTAAAGTGTGGACCTTACAGCGGCATTGTGGACGTGACTGCCTCAAGGCTTGGCGGCTAGAGGTTCATTTTGCTCATGTTCTTATTACCATAAATCAGAGACACCGCAGGTCCGGGGCTCAGAGGTGATTGCTGACATTTTCCCAGAAGTACTACAAATATTGATTCTTCCTTCTCAGGAAGAGGAGGGTTTTGCTTCTTCAGGGCTGAGAATGGCAGGCATCCTGATGCTAGTTTAGTCCTGTCTTACAGATAAATGTTTTCTCTCTTCCTTGCTCCTGTCCCGGTCCTGGGTGTGTGACCGCTTCTCAGTGTTCCAGTTTCCCTCAAAGGGGAATGTCAGGGTCCTCTGGACACCACTCAGAAATTCCACAACAACTGAGTGGACTTTAGAAGTGGGTGTAAACCGGGTCCAAGAAATCAGGGTTTATGGTGGGTTTAACTGGCACCAGTCTTATCATTTCTCAGGGAACCGTCACATCATGTGTGATGTGTCCTTCTAAGAAGTTAAAGCCCAAAACTTCTCTTGTTTTTGACATAAAAAGATTAATGCAAGAATAAGAGGCTAACAGATACAGGAATAACATTCACAGAATGAAGTGAACCGGAAACATGGATATTTGATTTCCATTTCTCTGAAAAGATAAGCTTTAAACCATCAATTGTTTCTTAGTCAAAGGGAAAAACTTAACAGGAAAAAAATTTTAGTTAACTTGTAGTATGGCTATGAGGAAAATCATTTTATAGAGTTTTAAAATATATGAAGAATGCTTTATGCCTTTCCTCTTAAAAATCTCACTAGTCATATTAAAAAAAAAAAAGTATTTACATTCCTTTTCCCCAAATCATCATGGACTTTGAGAAGCATCAGGATAATGTTAAAGTTTTTGGGGTTGTTTGTTTTGTTTCTTTTTTCAAAAACTGATTTGAGAGAGAGAAAGAAAGGGGGGGAGAAAGAGAGAGAAAGGGAGGGAGACATCAATTTGTCATTCCACTTACTTATGCATTTATTGGTTGATTCTTGTATGTGCCCTGACATTAACCCACAACCTTGGTGAACTGGGACAATGTTCTAACCCACTGAGCTACCCGGCCAGGCCTTGTTTTGTTTCTTTAAAAAAAAAAAAAAAGAATCAATAGTTGAAACTTGAGTGCAAAGGATAAGAAAGTAGGAAATGATACAGACTTTAATCCATCTGTATTGTTCTATCTACATATGATATATCAAATTATTAGGGACTTGAGAGCAAAACGAAATATACTGATAATTAATAGCATGGCTTGAGCCAAAATCAGGCCAAGCCAAAAATCCTCCGTTCTCTTTCCCTTAGGAAGTCAGAAATAAATAAAATTTTAAATTTTTTATTCCAAGTTATTTTTAAGATGCAACATATTCAACATGGGAATGGTTTTTCAACAGTTTGATGTAACTCTTGTATTTATTTTTAACTAGTATAGTGCTGTTTCTTTAATAAGAATTCAAAGTCAAAAGTTAGTATATTTCTCCTAAGTGTCTCAGTTTTGTGAAACAATTGAAAAACTGTCCTTTGTAAAATATGCCTGACTCCCAGAATTGAACAGGTATTTCTTCAGCTTACAGACCATGATACAAGGCGCATGTGGAGGGAAGCAGAACGTTTCTGACTCCCCAGAAACACTCCATGACTAAGTGACATTTCCCTCTTCACCGGCAGCAGCACCTCCATGGGTACTAAGTCGACACCTGGCGGTGGCACCTGCTGCACGTCTGTTCCCGTAGCAGAACCAGCTTAGCTATATAACCTGAAAATACGTTTTTACTTCTGGTTTGTCAAAGCACCTTTCACTGATCTTTAAAAAAAAAAAGAAGACTGTGACAGTTCTACCAATATTTATTTTTCCAGTAAAGATCTGTATTAAAAATGAGTTAAATTTATATATGAATTCAAAGGGAAACTAATTCCTCCATTTTATGATCCTTAAAATGTTTTGGAAGGACCTGCACTTTTCATACTGAACTTCTTGGTAATATTTATGCGCTGCTGTATGAATGGGATTCTCCTCCTGTCTTCCAATTATTTATTGAGACAATATGAAAATACCACTGATGTCTGTACCCTCGTTTGGCTCCTAGTCACCTTACTTCTTTCTGATTAAATCTAACAGCCCGCAGCCAGCCACCGCTGTGCTCACCTGCTCTGTCCCTGACTTGGAGCCCTGCAGGGCAGAGGGCAGCTGAGGGAGGAGGAGGCAGGGACCAATCCCAGCACCCTGTCCCTGCTCCGCCTCCAGACTTCTGCTGAAGTTTCCCACTAGCCAAACCCAACCAGAGAAGCCAGAGGGCCTGGGAACTTGTCAAGGTGGCCGAGAGGAACAGAAAAGGGGGTGGGAAAGAGCGCCCCTCTAAAAGGTGGATGGGAGAATGGTGACAGCTGAGCAAGTTCCCAGAATGCCCTGCTCTGAGCCTGACAGGGGAGATGCACCAAGGCCGGCCCAGCCCCCTCCTCTGGGTCAAGGTCTGTATAGGTAACATGTTAACTGTTCCACGTAACAAGGCAAAAAGTATGAAAAGGCATCTCTCCTCTGTGGACCCCTAGGATGTCTGAGCTGGAGAAGGCCGTGGTGGCCCTCATTGATGTTTTCCACCAGTATTCCGGAAAGGAGGGCGACAAGCACAAGCTGAAGAAATCCGAACTCAAGGAGCTCATCAACAACGAGCTTTCCCATTTTTTAGAGGTGAGTCTTGCTTTTTAAGATTGACAGTTTATGCATTCTCCTCTCCACTTATCAAACCACCTGGTGCACTCTCTCCTTCGAGCGGCCATGAAGGTGATTCCGGGTGTTTCAGGACTCCGAGGTGGCTTCTGAGAACGCGCGTGCACCACCGAACCCTCTTCACGGAGGCTCGCTCAGCTGGGCCCACTGTCTTCATTTTCATTTGTTTTGGGTATCGTAGGAGCACCAAGGAAAAACCACTGTACCAAAGACAAGTATAGATTTCAAATAATGCTGACTTTTCTCTGAAAAATCTAAGGACTTACAGCGATGATGGCAGAATGGATGGGAAATAGACTCATGACTTACCACTGACCATGGTGCACATAAGAAAGGTGTTAAAGATAAGCTTTTGTTTGGGGGAAAAGGGTTATTTTAGCTTTAGCTAGATGTTTAGCATCCCCCACGGTGATGAAGATGCTGTGAACTCAGCAAACATTTCCTGACCACTTTTATGTTCAATACTGGGAGACACAGGCCCAAGGACATGGCTTTTGCTTCTGAGGCACCCAGCTGGCACATCAGTGAAGGGCCACAACCTTCTTGACTGAAGGCATGAGGGCCCTGCCCCGGCTGGAGGCCTGAGGGGCTTACAGGGGCCTTCATAGAATAAGGGGCGCTGGGGAGCGGCCAGCTCCAGGTTAGGGCCCTGCCTCAGGAAGCGCACAAGGGCTCCTGGGGAGCCCCCTTCCTCAGGCGGGCCCCACTCTGGCCTGCAGTGAAAGGACGTCCCGAGACCTCATCGAGGACTCACTTCCCAACCCACTGGCACCGGCCCTTGGATCAGCCGCGCATCATCTCTACTGCACGTCAGCCTTGTGCCCTCGAGGCAGTGAACTACAGTCTACCTGGTACGGCCCTTCCCATAGTGCCCAGAACCAAGGTCACTGAAGTGACTGATCACACACAGGGGAACAGGCCAGCCAACGAACCAGTGCGCTAAAGTCCGACCAGTAGCTAATTCCGGGGAAGATACCAGAGCATCAGGGCAGGGTCCTGGGGCACGGTGACGGTGACGGGGAGCCACCCTGCCAGCAAGCTGAGCCTCTCAGCGCAGGGCGAGCCCCAGGCTCCAGCAGCAGGGCGGCACCCCCCATCTGCAGGTTTGCTGGGGGCCCCCTGTCCCACTCCCACCCCAACACCCCAGTGCTGTGAATGGCACCACCAGAGCAAAACAAGTGACCTGCAGGCCTGAGGTGGGTGGGCGGGGAGGTGGGGGGCGCATCCCCTAGTCTGACTCTGGGACTGGTTTCTCAGGCATTCACGTCCAGGTGGCGGCTGCCTCCCTCGCCTGTTGAGATACACAGTCCCCGCAATTCCGCCTTCTGTAAAAAGTCCCAGTTTCTTCTGTAAAAAGGATTGTTGCAAAGATGAAACCACACCGTGTTTTTCAAGTGCTTAACATACAGTGAAACTCAGTAACCAGTAACTGCTATTATTATTTATTTTAAAATATAGAAAAAGCTTAACACACGGTAACCACAATTTATAAAAGATAAGTAATTCAAGGGTAGCGTACCAAGGTACCACCAGGATTTGCTGCCCTGGTTTCATCAAGGTAATTTCAGTTTGGAGACAAACATATAACGTGACTGAACTGACACATTGCTGCCTTCCATCTTTTGGCCGCCCCGGCCAGCACCCCCCACCCCCCCGCCCGCCGCCGGAATCTCAGCCGATCTCATATTTTAGATTGAAGGCAGCCACGGAACATCACCCCTGACTTCTTCGGGCCAAGCAGTGCTGCTCTGGGGATTGGTTACTCTAAACAACCTGCCCTGGTGCTCTTCTTCAGTGCCCAATACCACATTCTCTCCACCATGTTTAGCGCCCTGTACTGTGTGTGTTCCTCAGAGACTTCGTAACGATTCACACAGCTTCTGTGTCGGGCGGAACTGTCAGGAAAAGTTCCATGACACCTACCAAGCAACTCAAGTGGCAAAAATAACACACGGGGTTAACAAATTTAGGGCATGTTCCCAAGAGTTACTTCCGCAAACAAACAAACAAAAAACCACTTTCAAAACATAAAAGTCCATGGAAGCCTTCACTTTAGGAACTTCCACACATAGAAACTGAAAAATTTAGGGGGGCCAAAAGTTCATTTTTCCTTTCACGCCGTTTGCCTATAATATACTCTGCTGATTGAGATGCTCTTCTTCTTTTCCGGGTGTTTTGTTTTAAGTAGAGTGAGAACAACCTGCAGGTTTCAGGTCTTGGTTGTTCCATTCAGCTTTTACAAATAGCCCAGGTCCCACCAGACCTAAAGGAAGGTGGGGAAGGCACAGATCCCCCCGCCAACAGGCCCCCGGTCATAGGAGAAATCTTTCTGGTATTTTGTATTTTATATCTTAGGTTGTTTCTGATAATGGATTTTTAAAACCAGCCATATTTTTAATCATGTTTTGATGGACTTAAATTTCATTTAAAAACCAGCTGGGTGACTGATCTCTCTTAGGAAATCAAAGAGCAGGAGGTTGTGGACAAAGTCATGGAAACACTGGACAACGATGGAGATGGCGAATGTGACTTCCAGGAATTTATGGCCTTCATTGCCATGGTTACCACTGCCTGCCATGAGTTCTTTGAACACGAATGAACTAGAGACAGCAGCCAAGCTGTTCCTGTAACAGAGGCGAAGGTCACACAAGGAAGCAGAAAGAAAGGGCTTGCAGGCTAGTAGGAGCTGAGCTTTCTGGCCCTGTTGTAGTAATTAGGAAGCTTGATTTACTTTGTGAATGAAAAATTGAAAACGTCTTTCCAAGGGCCGTCTGCAATGGCCCCTATCATTACTTCTGCTGCGTTAGGCATATGTGCTAGCTGACTGGTCCCAGGGACGCCTGGTAATATCATGTAGGAACGTCAATTCTCAGCCACAAAGCCTGTGCTATACTGGCTGCCATGGCTGTACAGAATCCTAACCCAGAACAAACAAAACTAATTACCAAAAAAAGACTGAATATTTGTGGTTTCCTTAAGTCTCCGCTACATTTGAAACTACAAAGCTCTGTCCACCCTTTGAAAAAAAAAAGGCTGCCATTTCTTAAATTTGCTCATCATCAGTGCAAATGGAACCTAAAGTAGTTAGATGGTGTAACAATGCTGTCCCACTAGCCCATAGCACACTGTCTCATTTAGATCCCTTTTGCTATGGTGAGCTGTGATTACTGAGTAGATGCTTATTTAATGCTAACAGTTCTAAATGGAAAAATGTCTCATAAACCAACAAGTCCTGAAACTAATCAAAACTGAGAATCAAAATTCTACATATTCTACATTCAGTGGAATTGTGATGGGCTCACACTTTGATGGATCTGTGGGGCATGTGTTTTTGCAGGAGGATGGTTGGGTTCACGACCAAGGTTTCAGATCAGCCTCTCTGGAGTTAAGTGCACTGCAAGTCATTTCGTCTCTCCAGTCTCCTTTCCTGTCTGTGAGAGGATGGGTTACTACCGATGTGTCTGTCTGTCAGTGAATGTCACTCCTGGCTTGTCTGTGCTGTTGACAAAGTCGGTGTATTTGGAAAGCTGAACTTTATGTTTTTGCATCCATGGATTCAAAGAAATCAAGTTTCAAATAATCAAGTTACTAATACTAAAAGTCACTTCCAGGAAAATTCAAATTAATCTTATCCGCCTCTTTTTCTGTTTTGTTTCTTTAAGGACACAGCTTCATAAAACAACTGATCGCTTGTATTTGCATTAAATAAAAGCACTGTGACAAGTCTCCGTAGCCGTTAAACATGAAATAAAAGCGAAATACGTACCTGCAAAACTGGGAAGAGGAATCAAGTCGAGGTGGCCTGCAAGGCTGGAGAGGCCAGGGCGGGCGCGAAGGTGGGGAGGAGCACCTTTGGATGGGGGCGGGGCGCGGAGGGACGGGTAGGGGTGAGGAGGAGCGTGGAGGGGCAGGACGTCGGGGAGGCGGGGCGGGGCGTGGAGAGGCGGATTGGGCAGGAGAGCGCCGGGTGAAACCACCTCCCCTCTCCTTTTTCCGCCCGCCCGCTCCGGTCAGTAACCTTCTGTCCGGTTGGCGTTACGTAACCTTCCCTAGACCAATAGCCGCGCAGGGGAGCTGTGATTGGCCCGGACAGTCACCTGCGGGCCTGAGCGGCTTCGAGACTGGAGGGGTCTGGCCGGGGTCTCGGCGGGCAAGGACCTGAGGTGTCCGCGATCCGCTCTGCCGCGGGCTCGGCCCCACCCCACACGCTGCGGCCTCCGCGGTCCTCTTGCGGGACGTGTGGGGCGTCGTCACTGCTCCTTGGCAGGTTTGGTCCCGCGTGATCAGTGGCGCCTGCTGGACCCTCGGTCCTGGTCGTAGACCCAATAGGGAAGGCTGGGCGGTGGTTGTTTCAGAATTTACCCCCCGGGGGTGTCGCCCACGTGGCTGGACTGGGCGAGCTGCGCCTCCGGGTAGACCCCAGCTCGGCAGCCCCGGCAGGGTGATGTTTAGGGCTCCCCAGACAGCCCCCCGGCTCAACAGGTGCATCAGCACCAGCACCCCCGGGGAAACGCAAACCCTGCGGTGGAGGAGCCCCTCGCGCCTGTTCCTGGGGAGATGCCCGCCTCGGGGTACACAGGGCGCAGCCAGGAGAGTGCCGGGGGGTACAGCAGGGAGTGGGGGCCCCCAGGGCAGGGGATGCTGAGAGGAAGGGGCCAAAGACACTCGGCCTAATCTCCAGGCAGGGGGCGCTCCAGGGCTCTCCAGCAGGAGAACGGGAGCAGGGGCGGCGACCGCGGGGCATCTCTGAGAGATGGCAGGCAGGAGAGGAGAAGTGTGGGCCAGTCTGAGAGCTGTTCAGGACGACCAGCGTGAGCAGACGTCGGGGGCACCGTCCGCTGCCTCTCACCCCGGGGGGAGACGCTGTTCCTCAGGGGTTCCGGGGGGCTTCCTTGCACCAACTGGTGAGCGTCAGGTTGTGAATCGTCCATCCTCCTCTGACCTGTCCTCAGCTGAGAGGGTCCCGCTCCCACCCGGAGGCACTGTCTGGTTCCATGAATGAGTGGTCATAGTCCCCACACAGCCTGCCGGCTGCTGCCGCCTCAAGCATCCCCAGGGAGAATCAGGTCTCTATAAAGGGAGCTTTGCGTTTTAAATGACCTCCGCCATCGCAGGCTGCGTTTCCCATTACGATCCAGATCAGCCACAGAGAATTCCTTGTGCCCCATCTGCTTATCAGTTTAATCCAAAGGCTGGGCCACAGTAGCCCAGAAAATGTCCCTGGCAGCAGCATCGAGGCTCTCAGGGCAGGCACAACAGCGGATCCCGTTTGTTGGCCCAGCACTGACAGCTGCTCTTGAGGGGTCTGGAGCCTGCAGAGACCTCCACCCTCAACCACAGTGGACCACCCCAGCATTCGCTGCTGTCCCTGCCCCCGGTCTGGGCAACACAACTGACATGTTCCTGCCACTGAAAGGAGGAATCTTCATCTCACGGTCGTGGGAGGGGAACACACTGCCTCCGGTTCCCACACAGAGACCCACTGCACCCCATCCTTGCCTCCCAGCAGGCACGGAGACTTCAGGAAGGCCCCTGGGTTCTGGAGCCCTGGGCCATTCTCCCTCCTTTGCCCTGGCCCTTTCGGGCAGGGGCAGGGAGAGGGGGACTGAGGTTGGACAGGCCTGGGCTCCCCTTGCCCTCCTCACCTTCTCCGGCCCTGGGGTCAGGACCAGAGGCCTCTGCCAGCTGGCTCGCTCCCACCTACCATTCTGTATCACCCCTCCCCCGACCCTTGGCCCTGCCCAAGCAGACCCTGTTCCTAGCAGCAGCCAAGGGAAGCTGGCTATCCCATGCCTTCGGGCCACCTTGGGGCCCTGCTCTGGAGGTCCCCCTTGTAGGCGGTCTGTATCTGCAGCATGACACCCCTGGGAGCGTCTCCCTGCAGTTCCACCCTGCAGGCCCCCGCCAGTCTCCAAGGCAAAAGGGGCCCTTCAGCCCTCACACACCAGCTGAGGCCCTGGAAGGAGTCCAGCAACTCTTCCAAGGAAGCTCTAGGAAGGCCCCCATCTCTGTCCCATGAGGCCCTGGGCTTGACTGCTGTTGTTTCAAGCACATAATAAAGTTTTATTTCTAGTTCAAATTTATCACATTTATTCAAATTCAGTCAAAAACAGGCAGTTTTGATCAACACCAAAGATAAAAATTAGGAGCATAGGTGACAATTACAATCTTACGTGAGCCTCAGCAGCCAGTTTACATGTGCATTTTTAAAAATTATTTTATTGTTCAAGTACAGTTGTCTCTATTTTCCCCTTAACCCACCCACCCCCACCTCCCACCCTCACTCCTGCCCCGCGTTGGGTTTGTCCATGGGCCCTTTATACATGTTCCTTGATGTGCAATTTCTTATTGGTTGCACAGTATTGCCATTTTCTTGATCAGGATGTTTAAATTTGGAGATTTCATCCCTCTCTGCCCCAGACACAGCTTGGATTCTTGTAATTGCAGATAGATCTGGCCAGATGAGATCCTGGCAGAACCCCTTTTTCCCTGCGTTTGATGAGAAAAAGACTGGCCTCTCCCCTAAGAATGTGAAAAATAAACACCATTCAAGCAAATTGGCAGGAGGCTAAGCAGGGAGGTTTGGGCACAGGCTGGACCTGGGGAAGAGCCAGGATGAGGCTGGCAAGCTCTTCAAGAACAGACCCTGATGTCCCCAGCCTCCCTTGAGGACCCCCCACCCCCACGCCAGCCCACCTCACCCCTGCATGAATTTAACATGCAAGTCCCTGGGAACCTTTCATACCATGGAGGCTGCTCCTGAAATGCTCCTCTCTGTGAGGGGCTGGGGGTGGACACGGGAGGGAATGCTGGGTCATGTGGGCTGCACAGCTCCTTCCACACAAAACTCTGCTGGCGGCCCATTAAAGACCCCAGGCGCCAGGCCTCCCAGGTCTGGGATGGGGCCGTGCTTGGCTGTGGGACTGTTTTAACAAGAACGCGGGCAATTCTGATCCTCAGGGAAGTTAGGAAACACTGTTTCGCTGTTGGGAGTCCAACCTTTTGGCGTCTCTGGACCGCACGTTAGATACACAAACACTAACAAAAACTGATGAGCAAAAAAAAGATTTTAAGTAAGTTTACGATTTCGTGTTGGGCCGTGGGCCGGACACCCCTGGATGGTCCTTCCAGAGGAATTGTGCCTTCCCTGCCTGTAGATTGGGTCTCTCACTCAAGATTAGACTGTGTGCAAGGCCATAGGTAGGGGAGACCTCGGCATCCCCAACACTTGCGGACTCCTGCGCAGGAACATCACGGTCCTTGGCCAGGCCCTTCTCGACTGCAGCTTCCTTGGTCAGGAAAAGGGTGGAGGATAAGCCCTAAGGGGTACCTTAGGGCACCCCGTATCCCGCTTTTCCTGATGGTCACTCCTTGTGTGATGTGCCCCTAAGTATTCCTGATCTTGGGAAGGAAGTATCCAGTCTTCCACCATTAAGTGTTAGCTGTGGGTTTATTGTAGAAATCCTTTATCAGATCCAGTAACTTCCCTTCTATTCCTAGGGCACTGGATTTTATCTAAAGCTTTTTCTGCACTTATTAAGGATGATCATATGTGTTTAAAAAAAAAAAAATCTAAATCCTGACTGTGAATTGAACCAGCGACCTTTCAGTTCCCAGGCTGCCACTCAATCCACTGAGCCACCAGCCAGGGTTAAAGCATGTCTTTTTTGATAGTATATAGTTTGGTCTTTATAGTCTAACCTTTGCCTTTTGAATGAATTAACCCGTTTACATTTAATGTTATCACAGATACAGTTACTTACCTCTGCCATTTTACTCTTTGTTTCCTGTGTCTCGTGTCCTTTTTGGGGCCTCTAATTCTCCTTCACCACTTTCTTTGGCGTTATTTTCTAATGAAGCATTTAGATTTTCTTGAATGCTATTTTCTGAGCTTTTTTTTTAGTGGCTGCTTTAGGGCTTACTATATACCTCTTATCGGAATCAAATATACTAGCTTAATTGCAGTGAAATAGAGAAATGTTATTCCTACATACCTACATATTACATCTACTGTTACAAACCCAATAGTACATTTGTTATTACTTTATAATCTGTAAATTAGCTCAATAGAGCTTTGTTTTCACCTTCTTTTGTGCTTATTGGCAAAAATATTCCACATACATATCTAAATGTATAGGACCAATAATATGTAAATCAGTTAAGACAAAAAAAAAGTGCATCTATGTGGTAGTCTTTTAATTACCTTTATCTTTACCAGTGCTCTTTATTTCTTAATGTGGATTCAAATAACCATCTAAGGTCATTTGCTTTCAGCCTGAAGAACTGTAGTATTTCTGGTGATGTAGGTCAGCTCGCAACAAATTCACTGTTTTCACCTGTGAATGTACTACACCTCCACTTTTTGAAACATAGCATTGCTGGATATACAATTCGTAGTTGCAAGTTTTTTGTTTGTTTGAGTTCCTTGAATATGTTATCCCGCCGCCTTCTGGCTTCCATTATTGCTGCCAAGAATTCAGCTGTCGATTTATTGGAGTTCCCTTGCTAGTGACAAGTTGTTTTTCTCTTGCTGGACCCAGGCATCTCTGAGTGACACCCCCACTTTAGGAGCTGAGCACTCCTAAAGTGAAGTGGGGGGCAGGAGCCAGGGGTCTTCTCAGAGGGGCCTTGCATCTCCTGGCATGAAGCCACCGGCTGGTGAGCTGGGCAGGGACAGCCAGGGCCCCTGGACTCTGGTGGCACTTCACCCACATCGCAGACGCTGC